ACTGTAAACAAGTATGCAAACTGTATATAAACAAAAAATAAACTTCTATTGCATTTAAATCATTGTACATTTGGGCCTATTTGTTATAGCAGCTTAGACTTTATCCCAGTGCATATAGTATCTTAAATATATGATTTATATATTTATGGGAATGTATTGCTTACTCATGTCAGGCAGGCACTCTGCTAAACCTTTATCCTCACACAGCAAGTAGTTCTGTTAATATTCCCCTTTACAGACTAGGAAACTGAATTGCAGAGAGGTTAAGTCACCTGTCCAAGTTCGTCTGACTTGAGAGCTTATGCACTTGGAGATTATACTTTCTGCTTGTCCTCACTCTCTTATTCACTCTGCTCTGCTCCCAGGAGTCTTAAGGTGAACTGCATCCACTAGGCTTGTGACCCTCTTTCTTCCCCTTGGATGTGGGAGACACAAATAGGAAAGTGTGTGGAGAGAAGGAGGGTGGTCAAGGTAATTTTTCTATACCCCCCCCCAATCTCTACCAGGTCACCTGTGGGGTAGTGGCTGTGCTTCTTTACCAAAGGCCACAGCTCCACTGGAAACCTATTTGGAAAGGAGCAGCTTTGCTCCTTTCCCTGTCCCCTGAGGCCTGGGAATAGTAATGGCTCTCCACTGTCCTAGCTCCAGGGAGTTTGGCAATAACCCTACCCATACCTGTGCAAATAGTGTCCTCCTTAACTTATCTTCAGTTATCTCTTTGAGTGCCATCTATTTGCACTCTGCACTCTCATAGTACAGCGTGTATGTGTTTTTATAAACTTTAGGCACCTCTGTTGTTTTTGGAAGCTTTAGGGACAGGCAGGTGACTCAACCCCAGCCAATCAGAGCAATGTATGTCCCTGTCTTCAGGGATTGATTTTGAGGTTACCATGGGTCTCAAATCAGGCCAATGAGAACCAGCTCACAACTTTGAGAGGCTGCCCTGGGAAAGAGAAGTACTCATTTGTAGGACTCCAAGTAGAGACTGTGCTCGCCTAGAGATGCTGGAAGATATCTTGCCTTTATGTGGATCTCAAGAAAGAAGACAACATTCAGGAGAGCAAAACCAAGTCCCAGAAATTAAATATTAATCACTCTGGTTAAGCCCCTGAATCCAGCCTGCTCTCATGTCCAATCTATTCCTGGATTTTCCCCTTGCTTGACCCATTACATTCACTTTTTGCCTAACCCATTGTGGGCTGGATTCTCTGTCACTTGTCACCCAAGAGCAACAGGTGATAAATATGTCAAATATATATATATATATATATATATATATATATATATATATACATATATTATACATATATTTATTTTCCTTTGCAAGCACACAGAAATCGCAGCTAGATAATCCGTGGAGGAAATGAAAAAGAAATAAAATTTGAGGGGTAGCTTACAAAACCAAAAGAAAAGCAGAAAATACTGATATTGGAAAGGACAAGCCAAACCCAAGGGGACTTCAGATAGCAGGAACAAATGGAAGGAGTCATCAGGGCATGTCTGAGAATAAACAGGTATTAACCATCTCCTACCCTTGGGTCACTGTATCCAAGATTCAGATTAGCTTGGAGAAGAGAGGGAGGGAGAATAATTTAGTTGAACCCTATGTCCAATCCTTGGCTAAGGAAAGTCAAGACACCTGGATTGACAGTTCCCACCAAGACAGTACGCAACTAAGACTAGGTAATTTCCTAAAGGAAAATCTGTTCTTAGGACAGCCCTGTAAAATAAGTACTGTCTTTATTATCCCTATTTTATAGATAAGGAAGCAGACATAGAAAAATAAAATTTTTTGGGGGGGGTACTGGGGATTGAACTTGGGGTACGCCTGTGGTCACATAGCTTGTAAGTGGCAGGGCTGAGATACAAACGAAGGCAGGCTGGCTTAAGTTTATGCACTCACGCCACCACACACAGGCTTCTCCAGGAGAAGAGGGGATACATACAGGGTAGGTAGAAGCACATGGTTCCTTGAAATTATCACTCAGGGATTACAGAAAACTTTATTCTTGTACAACCATTTTAGTCATCATGTATTAACAAGCAAAGGGGTGGGGAGACAGGCAGACAAATGCGCCCCCCCACCCCCGCATGCTCATACAGTGATTGATTTCTGTTTTCGAAATTAAAAAAAAAAAAAAAAGTCTGTTTAGCCAATAAGAAAAAGGGAAGGACATCAACTATGGTGATCTCACTCTCTCCCAACCACAGAGAAGATTGTGAACTATCTAGGACCCAGGGGAATTCCAGCTGTCACCAGGCTACACTAGCCTTGGTGGAGAAAACCCAGGGAATCAGAGAAACATTATCCGTCATAAATGTGTTGTACTAGACCGGGATGAGAGGAATGCTAGCAGTTTGGTGAGTGAATTGAAGTGACCACTCTCTACCCTCACAGGAACTCTACCAGGCCTCATTTCCCTCCACGACCTCTTTTGGGGTCTCCTGCACAACCATGCTCTCTTTCTTGGCAGTTTGCTCTGCCTTCCTCATTCTACATAGAACTGGTGTTCACCAAGACTCCACCCCTGAGAACGGCAAGGCCATGACATAGTCTCAGAACTTAAGCCACAACTCTCTGATTTAACCTCCAGCTACACAACATAGTCGTGTCACTATTCCTTCCCAGGCACACAGAATGGTCCGTGATTAGGAGTATGGGCCTTGGAGTCAGACCTAGGATGGAATCCCAGTTCTGCTGCTAATGAACCGTGTTAAAATGAGCAAGTTATCTAACCCCTCTGAACCTCCATCCACTGTCATGAAATAAAGGGGCTGAAATTCTGTTCTTATGCACCAGCACAGCTAAACTGGTTGTGAAAACATCAAAATACTTCCACATTGATTGGTAAATAGACAATCATATCCTTTGGCTTCAGAGGACCCTGACATCTCCCCTGTTTGCCTTATTTGATCCAATAATTCTTGTTAACTCTTCCCAGAACAGAGAGCTACCAAGACCTTGATCTAGCACTAAGACCAGCATGCATTCTGATTGGTAATGCTGAAGATGGAATGGCTTGTTAGATATTTTGAATACTAACCCCGAGAATGGTCATCTTTAGGATACAATGAGAAGATTCAGATAAAGGACATGGCAGAGAGTTTGGTGCACAGTGAAATAAGTCAATGTCAGCTATTATTGCTTTAAACATCAAACCTAAGGGAACCAGGGTCTCAGAGTTGAGCATTGTAAGCAGGTACAGATGGGCTCATGAATAGTCTCTGGGCCTCAAGATGATTCAGGGGTGAGGCTGCATGGGTGGTCCTGCCCAGTAGATGGGGACAGGCCAGGTGTAGTGGTGCATGCCTGTAATCCCTGTGATCAAGAAGCTGAGGCAGGAGGATGGTGAGTTCAAGGGCAGTCTCAGCAAATTATCAAGTCTCTAAGGAACTTTGTGAGTTTGTGGTAAAGTGCTCCTTGGTTCAATTCCTTGTACCTCCAAAATATAAAAAATGGGGATGATCAGGAGAACCACATATTGGCTCTCTTGCCATTTAGGAGGACCTATCCTCACTAATACCAGCTCTTTTATGTTATTGGAATCCTATGTCTTACTTGCCTGAGAATGAGAAGCTCTTTTCAGGAGTTTTCTAATGCCTTGGGGAATCACATATGAATATTCCAATCCAAGGAATTGAAGGACCTTAAGGAAGCAGTATTGTGTACGGCTAGGACTGACTGCATGGGTTCAAATCCCAGCTCTGTAGACTTCCTTGCTATGTGAACTTGGGGCAATTACCTAACTATTCTTGGCTTCCATTTCCTTATTTGTTAAGTGGGGTAATAATAGGGCCTGTCTGGTGGCAGGCCTGTCCCCATCCCCCATCGCCCTCCCAATTCTACATTTGCTGCTTGGACAGAAGACCTGCTTCTTAGCATCTGCGATCCCATTCGACCAATCTCCAGGCATCCCGCCCCACTTTTGATAGATCCTTACAAGGCCCTCCCTCGCACGTGGCCCAGCCCAGGCATTTCTGCTCGCCTTTCACCCCCACTTTGGCATAAAAGGGTTCCTTTCTACCTCCTTAAGTTGTGAGCCCTCACACTCCGGTGCTGCCTGAATAGCGTGGCCAGGCTTTGGGGAGACCCCCAAACGCGGGGAGGAGGTGTTCCCGGGGCCCTGAAACCTTCCAGACCCGCTCAGTGTAAACCGCCTCGGGTTTGTGTCAACATCCGAAGCCGGAGACTGGCGGCGGCTGGGGACAGGCTCCATCTAGGGCAGGGAACACCGGAGGGTGGGGAATGCAGGGGTCCTTGAGGTAGGTAGAGGGGTCCTTCTATGAGACAATACGAGAGGCCTTTTGGGGGTCTTCCAGAAATAAGGATAGAGCTTGTCTGAGAAGGGATGGAATTAAGAGCTGCCGAGGTAGTCTAGCTTGGGGACAGGTAGAGGTTGAATATTCACCATCCATACTGCGCTCTGTGCGTACACCTACCCTCCTCTCTGTTTCACGGAGGGAGGAGAGTGGGTTATGGGGGGCGGGTGATGCAAAGGCATGAGCTGCTGACCATCCCATCTCTTCTCTCCCCCACCTGTCACTCGGCACTGCTCGTTTTCTCTCTCCAGTTTCGGGTGGGATATGAGGGGGGGGGTCTCATCTTGTGAGTCATCCCCTCTTCCACCCCCACCCCCGCTGGGGCCCAGGAAGAGAGGGCTTAGAGATTCGGCTGTGGTTCTCTCGTTTCCATAGCAACGGTGCGGTTGTTTTTGTGAATCCACTTCAATTGTCAGTAGTTTTCACCCCAGACTGTGACCCGGGGTCTGAGCCTCAGGGAAGGGGTAAAGATAGGGGTACAGTCCTCCGGCATCCTGGAGACTCCGAGAAGGTCAGCGCTGGCGGGCGGGGCGCGCTTCTGTGGCTGGGCCTCACTGTCCACCCCATCCCCACCTGAAACCCCGCCTGCCACTCGGCCCCGCAGAGCCAATCGACGTCCAAGTTGCCCGGGGTGGGGCGGGGCTTATGCAAATCGTGTCGCCTTCCAGGGGCACATAGTGATACAAGAGCTGGGAGGCGGCTCCAGCGTGGACCTTGGGAAGCCCAGCTGCCCGCCCGCGAGCCAGCCTAGCCTCCGCGGCCCGCCGAGGCTCAGAGCGATCCGGAGACCCGGCGAGCGGCCTCAGGTAACGCGGGTGGGGCCGGGCCCTCTGAGCAACCCCGCTGGGCGGAGGCCCTAGACCCCTCCCCCTCCACTCTTCCTCAGCAACCTGTTCTTCTGTCCCCTAATTCTTCTCCCGATCCTGGGTCCTCCATAAGTAGTAGCATCTGGAGGACCCGGGGGCAGGGGATCTCCACCTCAGACGCGGTCCTCTGGTGCAAGGAAGGAAACCGCCTCGTTACCCCCAGCTCAGGTAAGAACATCCATTGCTCTGGCTCCCAGGACTCACAGGCTCACACATACACCTACCTGGGGGCGTGGGGGTGTGGTGGTGTTGGTGCTAGAGGCACCAGTCACCCTCCTGTTGCCTTTGGAGATGGCTAGTCTGCCTAGCCCCTTGGCAACCTCCCACCTCCAGAGAGTCCCCACCAGCTCCTCCGGCAACTCATCGCCCTTCACACCATGGGCTCTGTCCCCAAAGACAGCCCACCTCCACAGGGCGCCCACTCCCTGCTTACATTGTCACCACTTCCCATCCCTCAAGCTGACAGCTCCCAGCATACCTGAAGGAGAGAAGAAGCACCCTCCCACCCAGACATTCTCTCAGCAGCCCACCTCCAGTGGTCCCCAGTACTAGGCAGAAGTCCCCATATTTGGTCTCTTTTTTCTGGATGGAGGATGAACCAGGGATGCCACCCCACAGTAGACTATCCTTACCCTGTCACTGGCTGCCAAGGCTTCAGCTTCCATACTTCCTTCTCCTCTCACCCCTCACAACCAAAGAACCAAGTCCTCTCATTCCACCTCTCAAATATCTAATCTGTATCTCTCTAGCCTTCCTAAGCCTTGTTGCTCCCTCTCTTGTCTTCCTGCCATTCTTCAGGGACCATGCCAAAATTCCATGTGCACTGTGTCATTCCTTTCCCTAAGGTGGCTTGAACCTGGAAGACAGAAGAGCTAGGTGCAAATCTTGCCTTTGCCTCAGTGGTTATTTGACCCTGGTCAAGTCACTTTACTCTCTGATCTTTGGTAGAATGGTAAGGTGGCAGACACAGGATAGATGATCTTGAATAGCCTTCCAGCACTGACACACTCTGGTTCTATGGCTGATTATGGGAAAATAGGGCTCTGAACCATAAGGATATTTCACAAAGGAGGCCTGGACAACTTCAGTCCTCGCTGAAGGGACATTACTTCTTACCCAGGCCTAGATACCGGCCACCTCCTCCAGGCCCCTTCTCTTAGGGAGTCTCTCCTAGACTACTAGTCCACCCTGATTTGGACAGCTCCAAATAGGAGGTGACCAATAGAGCTCACCCTTTATTTTTCACACCCTGCCTCTCATGAAGAAGGAGAGGGAGAAGACCTGGCTGCAGCTGTTATTGCTGCTGCTTGAAGAAGAGCAAAGGGAGGAGAGCAAAGAGAAAATTTCCTGACCAGGGAGCTGTTGTCACCATAGCAACCGCCTCAGCACCAGCTTCTCTGAAGCTGGGCGAGGGTGTGGGATTATTGCCTCCTTCAGTCCCTCCCACCCTCACTGCCACCTCTCCACTCGAAGCCCATAACCCTGAGCCCTCTAGAAGAAACCTCTAAGCACAGAGGAGCAACAGTTTTGTGTTTGGGGGCAGTGCCAGCTTCTCAGCTGGAGCACAGCTCTCCAGAGGCCATGGCTCCAACAGAATATGCCCCAAGCTAGGTTCTGGCCTTTGCTTTGCTGCTGATGGGCTCTAGTTGACCTTGGATGAACCCTTCCTTTCCCTGGCTCTGGGTTCCATTGTCTCTAAAGTGGGTACCATAGAAAAAGCACAGGTAAACAAGACAATGTATTGGGGCTGGGAATATAGCTCAGTTGGTAGAGTGCTTGCCGTGCATGCACAAGGCCCTGGATTTGATCCCCAGCACCCCTCCCCCCCAAAAAAGACAGTGTGACATAGGTACAAGGAAGAAAGGGGCTCTGCTCTTCTCACATAATCTACTAAGAGATGTTCATTGAACATGGCTTAGTCCTGGGCAGTGCCTCCAAGCCTCTGCAGGGTGCTACATATATGCATATCGGACAGAGAACTGCGGGGGAGAGGTACAAGAGGGCAGATTCAGGAACAATGGGAAGAGCACTTTTCTCAGTAACCAAGCTTTTCAAAAGTGGTCTGGGTCCTACTGTGTAGGGATAAGCTCCTTACCATTGAGCAAAAGTCCTGGGGAACTTTTCCTGGCTCAGGAAAGGCCTCCCCTGGAATCCTTGAGCACCAGGTGAGGTCTCTGCTACAGAGTCATAGGGCGCACAGTCTTTTGGTACCCAGAGTGCTGAGCCTGTGCTGCTGCCTACCCACTGTCCAGGCTGGAAAAGGATAATCATCAGGAATTGGGCCCTGAAGGCTGATTGTAGCTTTGTGTCAGCCCAGAAGAGAAAAAGGATGGTGGAGGAAAGGAAATTAGCCAAACAAATAGGTGAGGTCTATTCTATCTGTGAGAAGTCTGGCTTGAGAGTATGTGGCAGTGAGGGGAGCAATGGGAGGTAAGGTGAGATAGGTGAGCATCGTGAAACCAGATTTTAGAAGATTCTGGAGTTTCAAAGGGCCAACGAACATGGCTGCCTCTGCCCTTATTGTAACTCAGGGGCTGGGTGTACTTCCTCAGAACAGAAGAGTCAGAGGGAAGGCACTTCCTGTGAGGCAGGTGAACCCCTTGGGCATGGGCCTGGCTTGGCATGTGGAACACCATCTGGATTTCTGCCCCTGGACATGGATAGTGAATGTTTCGGGAGTGTTTCAAAGAAAGAAACCAGCCTGAGGCAAGAGAATTGCAAGTACAAAGCCAGCCTCTGGAACTTAGCGAAACCCTAAGCAACTTAGCAAGATCCTGTCTCAAAATAAAAGTAATAAGCCTGGGGATGTGGCTCAGTGGTTAATTACACTTAGGTTCAATCCCCAGTACCAATAATAATAAGAATAAACCACAGAGCCAGGTGCAGTGGTGCATGCCTGCAATCCCAATTACTTGTGAGGCTGAGTCAGTAGGATTGCAAGTTTGAGGCCAACCTGGGCAATTTAGCAAGAGCCTTTCTCAAAATAAAAATTAAAGAAGGTTGTAGATGAACCTCAGTCCTTACATGGTTCACAGGAGTCCCTGGGTTCAACTCCCAACACATAAAGGGGTGGGAAGGGAGAAAGGAAGGAAGGAAGAGGACTTGATGGCAAATTTGATCTGGGTTTGAAAAGAAAGAGGGAAAAACTGAAATAGTTTTACAGGTCATGGTCCCCCCCACCTCTGCCAACCCCAGGAATGAGGAGAGAGAACAGATTCAATTGAGAGGCTAAATAGTCCCAAGTCCAGGGTGAGTTTGGCTATAGACAGATTGACTCAGAAATGCTGGGGGAATCAACTCTAGTGTGGATATTTCCTGGGTATCAGAGACTATGGCCTGGAGTTCAGGCAAGATGGTCTCACTGAGGCAAAAGGAAGATCAGAGTGGATTTTTCCAGAAGCCAGGTAGGGGTGGAGAAAGTCTGAGCTGAGCACAATTAGCCATGATGTATGGAGGATGGTACAGGCAGGTGGCAAGGATTCAGCTTGGGCGCTGACCTGCTGGGTAACCCTGAGCCAGTTTTTCCCTCTCACTTGATTTCAGTTTTCACTAAAATAAGGGGATGAGCTTAAAGGATGATTGCCAGCTTTCATCTTCTGACCAAGAAGAGCAAAGGAGAGGAGCAGAAATAAAGGAAGAATCCTGGTCCTCATTGGGTCTGGGACCCAGTAGAGGCAAAGAGGAGACAGAACTGTGGGAAATATAGCGCAAGGCAGGGAGGAGAAAGAGGGCAGCAGGTGAGGGCCACACAGGCACCAGGACACACACAGAGACATGTGTGCTCTGACAGATTTGCAGCCTGATACAATGACATCCTCCCACGTACCTACTCAGCCCCTCACGCAGACACTCAGACACATGCCACAGGAGACAATGGAGAAAAGCTGTGCCTCCCCCATCAGACACCTCTGTCTCTGGGTTCTCCAGCTTCCTTGCTAATACCCTGAGACTACAGAATCTTTGGACTGGGGAGGGGGCAGCTAAGTATGAACTCTGCCTCCTTTTGCCCATGAGTGTCCCAGAAGCACCCTTGTCTCTGGCCCCAATGCAGCTCTTTAGGACCTCATAGACCCAGGTTCCTGAAGATGGTGTGCCTCACCCCCCTCTCTCACCCCGGGCTTTTTACTGCATAGGACTCCTCATTCTCTGGGGGTGGTAGGTGGGGAAGGATGTTGCCACTTTTATTGCTCCCTGATCTTCCTCATGGCCCAGCGGGGGAACCTGGGGCCCAGAGATATCCTGTAACTAGCTTAAGGTTACACAGCAAAGGAGGTTGGGGGGGAACATACCAAACTCAGATCAGGTGGCTCACAGCCTGGCTTCCCTCCAGAGAGACTCTAAGCAGGTCAAAATCACCTCCCAGGTTTTTTTTTTTTTTTTTTTTTTAATTTTCTTAGTTGTAGATGGGCATAGTACCATAATTTTATTTGTTGATTTATTTTTTATGCAGTGCCGCAGATTGAACCCAGTGCCTCACACATGCTACACAAGTGCTCTACCATGGAGCTACATCCCAAGACCCAACCTCCCAGATTGTGTCCTGGGAAACCCAGGTTCTGAGGGACATTTCTCCCATGGGAGTCAGATAGGAGTGCCCACCCACACTTCAGGGCCTGGCTACCCTCTACAAATGCTTTCCCTTGTACAGGTCACTAGAGGGGCTCCCATCCCAGTGTGGGATGGATTTGATCCTCCCCAAGCCTGCTTCTCAACAAAACACCTCCATCTATTCAGTCCCAAATGTGAGCATTTGCCTTAATGCTTTCTGTGCCCTTCTTACTCCTCCATCCAACCAGTCACCAAGCCCTGCCAATGTCCCCTTCTGACATCTCCTGATTCATCCACATGTCTCCACAGCGCCTGCCCTAGCATAATTATGTCACCTAAACTGTGTGGCAGGCCCCTCCCTGCTCTACCTACCCCCATCCTAAGTTATTTTGCATACTGTAGCCAAAGAAAAATTCCAAAATGCATCCCTTCTTTCTAGATCCTCAGCACGTGGCATATTGAAACATCTTTTAAGTGTTGTTAGTTTCAAAGTCCTTGGTTTTAAAGCCCCAGGTTCTGTTTCCTATAGGTAAAGTCAAATTCCTTGACATGGGTTGAAAGCCCCAGTCTTCTACCCAATTAACCCAATTATGAGTTATTGAAGGCTTGTATTGTGTTTATCTCCCTCCCTAGCACAAGGCCTAGCACACATAGTCAGCCTCAAAAAGTGCTATGGGAATGAATGGGTTAATGAAAATTGATGTAATCAGGGTCATCAATGCTCCAGGCTAAGATTTTCTATTTGTACACAGGAAAGAGGAAGAGAAGCTTCCTGCTAGGGTGGCCCAGGAAGGCCTTGAGAAAGAACTTGTGAGACAGAGCCAGGGGGTCACACTAGGAACCTGCCTCAGGTCCCTGGTAGGACAGCAGCCTGCCAAGGAGGGAGGGAACTGAGTGCAGAAAGCTCTGAATAGGAGGGAGAGGAGTTGGGGCTTTATGCTACAGGTGTGGGGAGCTGTAGAAAGTGGAAGAGGAGAGGATGAAAATTGTGGCTTGCGGCAGGACGGCCAGCTGTGAACAGGAAGGCTATGGACCCCCTATGAGGAAGGCCTACTCTGGGATGCAGGATGTTATGGGGAGAAAGGAGGTCCTGTTATGGGGAAGTGTCCCAAAGGGAAAAAACCCTTCCATGCAGGGGGAGAAGAGATCACTGTGGGGGTGGGGAGGAAGGAAGGGTGGCTTCCTGTAGGAGGGGTGGGTGAAGAACAGCCTGCTGTGCCCAGGTGGGGCTTGCTGAGCTGGGTAGCCAGAGGAGGGGACCTGTGTGAAAGGAGAGATCCTGGCCATGGAAAGGTCAGATCTTTATGGGAGGGAGTGGGGTGCAGAAAGGTGTTGAAGGGGACTTGGGGACCACTCCCGAGGCGAGACTCTTGCTCTGGACAAAGTTGAGGGAGCCCTCTGTCCCCAGGCCCCGCCATGGGGAAGACCAACAGCAAGCTGGCCCCGGAGGTGCTGGAGGACCTGGTTCAGAACACGGAGTTCAGCGAGCAGGAGCTGAAGCAGTGGTACAAGGGCTTCCTGAAGGACTGCCCCAGCGGCATCCTCAACCTGGAGGAGTTCCAGCAGCTCTACATCAAGGTGGGGCGGGGCGCGGTGTCCGGGTACCCAGTACGGCTGGAGGAGGATAGGGCGCCCCAGGAGGGTGGAGGCGGTTGGGGGGGGAGGTGGTGGCGAGGCTGCCGCTGCGCCCCAACCCCTCCCACTGGCTCCACAGTTCTTCCCCTACGGCGACGCCTCCAAATTTGCTCAGCACGCCTTCCGCACCTTCGACAAGAATGGCGATGGCACCATTGACTTCCGGGAGTTCATCTGCGCCCTGTCGGTCACCTCCCGCGGCAGCTTTGAGCAAAAGCTCAACTGGGCCTTTGAGATGTACGACCTGGACGGCGACGGGCGCATCACGCGCCTGGAGATGCTGGAGATCATCGAGGTGCGCCGGGCGGGCCCGGTGGGCGTGCCTGATTCAGTGTCCCTAGGCTTCTCCTGCCATCCTCCCTTAGGCCTCGCTGCTGGGTTCCCAGCTCGCTCATACCTGCTTCTCAGGATCGGGTCTTGATGGGGTAGATGTTGTCAGAATCTCCGTTTTACAGAGGAGGAAAACGAAGCAAGTAGCAGTTCCTGATTCAAATCCAGAGTACCTGGCTCCAGAGCCTAATTAATTCTATTGATTGATTGATTGTACCAAGGATTGAATCCAGGGATGCTTAACCACTGAGCCACATCCCCAGACCTTTTTATTTTTTGAGACAGGGTCTTGCTAAATTTCTTAAATTACTGAGGCTGGCTTTGAGCTTGAGATCCTCCTGCCTCAGCCTTCTGAGTCTCTGGGATTACCGGTGTGTGCCATAACGGCTGCTCAGAGCCTAAATTCTTAACTCATTTATTCTTTAAACAAATAAATATTGAGTATCACCAGCAGCAGGGCACTGTTCATGGGAGATTCCGTCTAGAGAACTAAGTCCTCTAGAGAACTTAGAGAAATATATCAATAAACTTGTGTTGGTCCGGCAGCAAGTGCTGTGAAGGGAATAATCAAAGTAAGGGGAGAGAACAATGGAGGAAAAGTGATTTTACATCAGGTGAAAAGTGAGCAGCAACTTGAATAAGGCAAGGGAGCAGAAGGAAAATAAATGTAGGTGAGATGGTGTTTGCAAGGCTCAAGGAGGAGCAGGAGGCTGAATCCTTGGAGAGGAGTGGAGTGGAGAGTGATAGGAAAGTGGTCTGATAGGGAGCCAGGAGTAACTCATCCTGTCAGGTGGGTGTGGAGGATAGACCATGACAGGCAGGGGACAGCAGAAGCAGGGAGACCACGTAAGAGCTTTTCACAGTAGTCAAAAGCTGGTGTAGGCTGCAATCATCAAGGAGCTGGGAAAGTGGAAGGAAACGGATGGATGGATATGGGATCTACTGCAAAATTAGAGGCCCACAAGGTTTGCTGAAGGGTGTGTCCATGGGGTGTGAGAAGGAGGGGAATCAAGAATGGCATCAAAGTTTTTGCTCTAACAGCTGGCGGAGTGAAGTTGCCACTTACGGAGATAGGGAACGCTGAGGAAGAACAGGCAGAGGGGTGAAGAGTTGGGTTTGAGACATGCTTGATTTAAGGTGTTTTTTTTTTTTTTTTTTTTAGAGAGAGAGAGAGAATTTTTTTTTTGAGAGAGAGAGAGAGATAGAGAGAGAGAATTTTTTAATATTTATTTTTTAGTTATCGGCGGACACAACATCTTTGTTTGTATGTGGTGCTGAGGATCGAACCCGGGCCGCACTCATGCCAGGCGAGCGCGCTACCACTTGAGCCACATCCCCAGCCCGAAAATTTTTTAATATTTATTTTTTTTAGTTTTCGGTGGACACAACATCTTTATTTTATTTTTATGTAGTGCTGAGGATCGAACCCAGTGCTCCGCGCATGCCAGGCAAGCGAGTTACCGCTTGAGCCACATCTCCAGCCCTTGAGGTGTCTTTTTAAAAAATATTTATTTATTTATTTTAGTTTTAGGTGGACACAATACCTTTATTTTTATGTGGTGCTGAGGATTGAACCCAGTGCCTCACGTGTGCTAGGCGAGCGCACTACCACTTGAGCCACAACCCCAGCCCCAATTTGAGGTATCTTAATGACCATATATCACCTCCCAGTATCCTCGCTCCCTCCCGGTATTCTCCCTCCCTTTCTGCAAATGCCTTTTATTTACTCTCGGCCCTCCCTCCCTCTGTGGGTGTTCACACCTCCCTCTTTGCTCTGCCAGGCTATCTATAAGATGGTGGGCACCGTGATCATGATGCGCATGAACCAGGATGGGCTCACACCCCAGCAGCGCGTGGACAAGATTTTCAAGAAGATGGACCAGGATAAGGACGACCATATTACACTGGAGGAGTTCAAGGAGGCAGCCAAAAGCGACCCATCCATTGTGTTGCTGCTGCAGTGTGATATGCAGAAGTAGAGGCTGGTGAGGGGGCAGGACCCCTGGCCAAGAGGGGCATGCCATCTCCCAACCTGGTGACCTCTCTGGCTGGCCCTTCCCCAGGGAAAGGGATACTCCAGCCTCACTTTCTGGCCCACTCACTCCTCTGCCCAAGCCCTTCTTCCCCAGTCAGGTTCCTTGAAGGATCACCTTACCCCCCAAAAGAAACAGGTCCTCGGGTGTATTGTTATCTAGCCTCACCCCTAGCCTTGGCCCAGAACCAACATCAGTTGGGCACAGGGGAGTTGGCTTTGCCCTATGAGGCTTGGTTAAGGAGGGGTGCTGGGGTACTCTTTGAAATTTTATTGTTTCTGGGCTTATGCTTTATAAAATGTGGGTCCCACAGGCCCCAGTCAAAGGGTCAGATTGGATCTGTCCTTTCCGAAGGACCCAGATTCCTTAAAGGTAGTCTCTACCCTACCCCCTCAACTCTACCTGACCCCTCTGGCCCCAGTCCTTTCTTCCCCTGATGTTTATTGAACATTTGTTCAGTGCCATGCACCTTTAGGTGCTAAGAATATGGTAGTTTACAAGACACAGTCTGTACCCTCTGAAAGCTCCTAGCTGGCAATGGGGCATCCTTCAGTGGTCAGGGTCTCAAACAGGAGTGTCAGACATATCTGAGGAGAGGTACAGGAATGCCGGCTAGCTTGAGAGGAGCTGTTGCATCTTCTAACTAGCTCCATCCAAAGCTGCAGAAGGCTGAAATGAAAAGCACTTAGATGTTTAGGAGCCATGTGAGTGGAAGTTTTAAGGAAAATGAAAATTTATGTAATACTTATTTTTTTAGTACCCTTTAAAAGAGCTAAAGTCATTTTATTGGGTTAGGATATTAAAGATACTCTATATTACTTGGTTTCTTATAAAATGATTAAATGATTATAGATAATGCTAATTTTCAGGGGGAAAAAAGTTGAGATAAAAGGGGAAAATACCACCAGACTTAACAGACAACCCTTTTCTTTGTCAGGCCGAGTCCTGAGCTGTCACCATCAGCAGTTTTTGCTGCTTCCACTGCTTCTTTTTAAATGAACTTTTTTTTTTTTTGATTGAACAAGTGAACAAGTAACTCTTTGTTGCCCACTGACTCTGGTTGGGTTCTGGCTTCAGAGAGAGAAATGATAGGTGTGCCAAGAGTGAGACAAGTGTGCATCCCACATCATGGAGGCTTGTTTCTGAATTTGGTTTAGTTTCAGAGATGGCCTTGTTCTTTCACTGCCTTCTATGCAGAAGGAGAAGTGACCACCTGGCCACTGTTTAGGCTTCCAGGCTGCATTTGTGGACCAAATGCCTAAAGGTGTGCTGGGCATGCTCCATTTGAAAGGTTTTTTTCTAACTCTCAATCCTAGATCTGCCAGGTAAATTCACCCCTTCCCAAGCACACAGGCTTTGCTTTCTGATTTTGAATCCGTGAGATATACAGCTGCATGCTTTGACAGCAAGAACAATTCTTCTTGCTTCTTCATCAAGTCGTTCATTTTACTTTCTCCTGTACTTGTGATCAGAAATTATCTTTGATGTGCAGTGACAGTTGACTTCCTCTTGAACTGCTGGTGAAAACAGTCTAGTATTCAGGTGCTGCCAGCCTAGGGTGGGAGTAGGGAATGATTGCAGTGCCAGCACGCGTGATGGCAGAGTTTGCATCTACAGGAAATAGATGCAGTTCGCCTCTCACTTCTGAGCACTCACCTGTCCTTCGTCTCTACAGGTGGAAACTCTTGGGGATACAAGAGTTTCAGTAATCCCAAGCTCTGTTGGATCTTTCTTTATGTGGCCCTTTGAAGTAACAGGACCACTGGGTTGCCACTCTCTTTCTATCCTGCCGAAAGATGAGGCTAGGGAATTCACATTGTTAGGCAGTAACTAGGAGGTACTTATCCTGCAATGCCTCCAGGGATGTTCCATTGTTCTCAGGAGCTGAATAGGTGTACCTTGTGCTGTCAGTCAGCAAGCCAGATACAGAATGCTTAACAGCCTGGCTCAGCTGGGACCTGAATCTCTGGTGGAAGGCTTTTTGCTAAGTGAAATTCTTTCTCACCAAAATGTTGAATCTAACCTAACTCAAAATCACACGGA